GTGCTGAGGGTCTGTGGCTGGCTTGACCATGGGGAAGCGGGGTGCACGTTTTCCAGGGAATCTGCCTCCGGCACCCTCGCTCTCCATTCCAGTCTGGGGTGGCTGGAAGTCAGGGTCCAGCCCCGGTCTTGGTGATCGCACGCTGGCCTGGCTCAGATGTCTGCAGTTGCAAGCTCTACAGAGGGACAGCCAGGGCCACAGTGCTCTCGGGAGCCCGCCTGCCTGACTTTGGTCACAGTCGTGCTCTGTGCCTTTCCTTGGGGGGTGCTCGCTTTGTCCTGACATACTGGTGCTCAGCTGTGATCTTTTTTTTTGCACTGCATAGCAGGCCCTTGTATTTTGACAAACAGGAGACTTTTCTTTTGAATGTTTGTGCATCAGAAGTGAAAGCTGTCCCCAGCCTGGTGGCCTTACTGTCATCACTAACAGCCCCACTCGTTGGTTTTCTGGGTAGCACTTGCCGCTGCACTGGAATTCCATAGTGGCGCCTGGGCTTCTAGACACATGGTATTTTAAAGGGTAGGAGCACGTGAGGGGACATCCCTTTCTTCATCAGGGCCGCGTGCCAAGGGCTCCTGGATCCAGGGAGAGGTCGTCTATGATCTCTGCTCACGGCTAGGAGCTCACCGGGGCCACCTCTTTGCTTGCCTTTTGACCTGGGTTCCGGGTGTTCTGTGGGAGCAGCGCCATGCCCAGGTGCACCCCCATAGGGAGGCACGGGGCCTCCGGGTGCTGAAAGAACTCTGATGCCAGGCAGCCCCTCAGCCCTGGCGTTTCCCCAGAGCTGGGCACACACTGCTGTCTGGAACCAGGCCTCTCCTGTGGACCAGGGCACTGACTTCCACTTCCTGTCTCTGTGGCCTATGAGGAGTGGCAGCGGGGAGAGAAAATGAGTGAGATCAACTGTGATTTCCCTCGTGCCAGTTTTGCCATACCTTCCACATTGGCAGGGAGCCTGAAGTGGTTTCGGTTCTTATCCAGTGAGTTAATGTCAATCGATTGCCTGTGCTTGCTTAAATTAAGAAACTGCATAGACAGAATGTTCTGGATTGGGTATATGATTTACTGTGTTGTCACCTTGGTGTATGGAGGGTCCTAGGGTGATGTGAGTCATCTTGGCATGTGCAGGAACTAAGTAAACTATTACATAACCCCACGGTGGGCATGGTCTGTGCCTGCTGAGGCAGTGGGTTTACAGAAAATTGTGTGACCTTTCCATTTCTTGGTGTTACTGTTGTCTTCTGAGTTTTCCTCTGTGTTGGTCCAGTTTTCGTTGCTGTAACAAAATACTTGTGGCTGGATACTTTACAAAGAAAAAAGATTTTTAAATTCATTGTTGGGGAGCTCAAAGTCTTAGATCAGATGGCCCCATTTATTTGGCCTCATGGTTGATGGCGTCATGGAGGGAGCACGTGGGAGAGGGATAACATAGTGAGGCAGGAAGATGGAGAGGCCAGGGGTGAGTGTTGCTCTTTCCTAATGGCCCTCTCTTGAGATCCACATTATCCCTGCCAAGGGCAGCAGGCTGTGCCTCCAGGGACTGGTTACCTGGTGCTGAGCCCAGCTCTCAAAGGTCTCACCACTTCCCAGCAGCACCACACTGGGGAGCCAGCTTCCTACATGCCAGTCATTTGGGGACACACTCAGACCACGTTCAGGACACCCAGCCACTTAGCTCTTGTGAGTTTGGAGCAGTCAGCTGCATGGCTGCTCTGGCCGGAGGTGCTGCTTGGGGTGTGGGTGAGCTGCCATCCCTGCTGCTCGTGGGGTTGGTTCTCCCGCCCTTCCTGCTGGCCCACGGTGGCTCCTCTGAGGTAAAGAACAGGTTGCTGTCTTTGCGGGGATTCTGACCTGCGACTGGGATGTTAAGATTGCTGGAGGGGTGAGTGGTGGGGACATGGCAGTTGCAGAAGAGAGCTTTCTGGGTAGGAGTGTGTCTGGGCAGAATCATGTCCGGGGCCCAGAGTGCCTTCCATCTGGTCCATCTCAGCTGGATCCCAGAAGGTGACATCATTTGGACGTACAAGATTTAGTAACTTTAGAGATACAGTTCAAACGAGGGAGGGTATTGGATATCACACTTAATAGCAGTTCTACCTGGTGACCAGTGCAACAGTGGGTGTCTCGTAGGGAGTCTGTGACTCCCAGACAGGAGCTTGGAGCGAGCAGCCTCTGTGGGGGGGCACAGTTCTTGGTGTGTCCGAGTGTGTTTAATTCATAAGTGTGTTTTGGAGTCCTCGGGGCCTCTGTGGCAGGCCACATGCTATGGGGTGAAGAGCAGAGGTGTATCCTCCAACAGTTCTGCAGGCCGGAAATCCAGAATCACTGTTTTGACAGGTTGTTCCCCGAGAATCTGTCCAGGCCCCTCCCAGCTGCCGAAGTCCAGCACCCCGTGTGCTCCGGGGCTGGTAGACCCGCCCAGCCCTGCCTGTCACGCAGCGCTGCCCTCCTGGGAGGCAGGGGTCCGCCACACACCCTATTCCAGTGTGATCTCGCACCTTAGGCTACAAAGACTGATTCCGGTGCTCCATCACAGGGTCTGAGAGGGTCCCTCACGCCCACCTGTTGGCTGGCAGGAGCCTGCTCAGAGCTGCTGAGGCCGGGCCCTTCCCTTCCGTTCTTGCTGGCCATAGAAGCTTGAGGAGGACGAGGACAGGAATCAGCTTGCCTGTGACCTTCACACCCCCGAGGGGCATTTCACAGTGCCAGAAAGAGATGCACGGAGCCCAGTGGAAGCCCTCGGAAACGCCGTGGCATCAGGAAAACAGAAGGTCGCGGGGTGTGTGCTGGCAACGTCCTTAGGACTCAGCGCCAATTCTGCTGGCACCCAGGTGCCCAGGTGGGGCTGGGGAAGAAGTGCCTGCGACCCTGGAGCAGGGGATTGTCTCCTACACGCGAGAGGTCTACATGCCCAGTCCCGGACGCTGTGCTCTACCAGACCCGTGTCTGCGTTGTTCCTGCCGAGCCTGGAGGCCCTTCCAACTGGTGGCTGTGCTTTGAAGTCCTGGTTGAAGCCTTGGGTCAGAGACTGGAGTCCAGGTGACAGGACAGGGTGAAGGCATCAGTGGCCTCTAAGGAAGGTCTGTTGGGGGGTGACTTTGCCAGAGATTCGGAATCGCTGCCAGACACCCTTTGGGAGACCTGATCTGGCCTCAATAAAGCCTACTGCAGTCATAAATAATTAAATTTTTTTCTGGAATGAAGCAGTGCTCTTTGCTAGTGCCGCCTTTTCATCCAAATCTAGAATGAACCCACCTCTGGATGCGAAGGTGGCTTAAAGGTGGTGGGAGGAGGACAGGGCCCGCCAGCCCCTGTGAGGGGACGGGCCGAGGCCCAGTGGTGACCTCGCCTGCTGTGGTCGTCCACAGGGATTGGCTGAAGGGCTGTAGCCAGGCAGGGCATGGGAGCAGCTGGCCCTCTTCCTGGGTCCTCATGAGTCAATGTTTCTTCGGTCAGTTTTAGTTTCTTGTTAGCTGTTAACCAGCTCAAATTCTGGGCTGTTGAAGTCTTGGCACCCCAGAATCTGTGTGGGCCCGCAGCGGCCTGGCCCTTCCCTCCAGGGCAGTGACTCTGGC